TACATTTATGGATGTTAGATAGGTTTTACTGTATAAAATTCGATAATTTAAATATCAGGTTCAAACTGATTTTATGTGTTCCGGGCAGTTCTTAGGTTGTAAGAAGGGAACAGGTAGAACTGTCATACGATATCTTAAATTTTATATGGATGTTATTTTTTCTCAATATTTAGCAGCGATGGATTCCTACTAAGGCAAAACCTAAGAACTCTGATTTAGCAGCGATGGATTCCTACTAAGGGAAAATCGAAGAACTCTGAAAAAAAAAATGTCCCAGTGCCACTTTGCCCACCACAAATCTCATATGGACTGACCTGGGCACGAATATAGGCCTCCCTAGTAAGAGACCGATGATTAACATTTGTATGCTCGTACTGTATCAGATATGTTCTACAAATCCGAAGCTCGAAAGGAAAAAGTATGAATGTGAAGACATCGTGTTCTCACATGAAGACACTTTACAAAACATAGCCTACTGATACGTTCTCTCTCACACAAAAGATGCTTGAAAAATAGGCAATAATCTTAGGAAATTACATTTGTAATGTGTATTTTAAAATTGTCTTGTACCAAAGAATCTCCCCCTCGATGGCACCACGTTTTCCACTGGGATATGACTGGCGATCCCTGCTGTAGATTTTTCACAAACTATTTCTCTGTAGAACTAGAGAACTTGGAAGGGTTAGAACATAATTCAACGAGGCGAATTTTTACGATGGAGTACCATGATCAAAACTCTGGACAGTGTCATTGGGGTTCGAGGTTTCGTCCAGTCCTTTGCTCGGCCTCTAATAATATTTCCGAGAACCTGTTGACGTTTAAGTGTTTGGGGAAAATCTGAATATTTTTTTCGCTCACGAGACATTTTATGAACTGTAGACATACTACACATTAAGTATAGTTAATTTTTTTTTACGTTTTTTAATTATAATTTTCTAAGATAAATTTCCCTTTCAGTAATTTATCAATTCCTTGATTAATCTATTCCATTCTTCACAATTTATTGTACAAACACCAAACCATAGCTAAGTCTATCTGAATTAGGTGACCCACTGATTTCTTGTTGCTATATTAAGGACATATGAACCTGTTCTAAACGTGTTCCATTTCAGTGATCCTACATAATCAGTCCAAAATGTTGTTCTTTCTCGCTATTAATGTCTATAAGAAACACGTTTAGAACAACCGTCGGTTGGCGTAATTCTTCATTTGATGGTGAAACGTGACTGAAATTTTGATTCTGTACCGGTTTTTTTGCGTCATTAAACGGGACCAGTGATAACTCGGAACTGGCTTCTCTCTTATGCCCATGGGGCGCAAACTGAGAAACCGGAGATATTTTAAGAAATTGTAATGTTAGAGTGTAGATCGTTGATATACGACAACTAATATTTCGATACAATCTCGTCAGATGAATTTAAACGTACCGGTATGATTGAAATTATGTAACCTGTAGATTTATGTCGTGTTCAGCGCTTAAGTCATTTCGCATTCTGTGCTGAAATGTATAAAATTAATTTAATGTGATATGATGTTTTTGAAAAATAATTTTGTATGGTTTTGGGGTCTGTGTTATACGACGTTGTATTGAATGTAAAATAATACGTAATGAACTCCCGAGTCTTAGTAAAATTTTACTACCGACTTTCTTTGGAAAATAATATTAATTTGTAATTACATTGAAGACAGCATTCGACCGTGTACAAAAAATTTGATTTGAAGAACTGAATGAAGAGTATTTGTCTCCTATTTTAAGTAACTATCCAAAAAAATTTGCTTCGAGTCTCTGAGGAAAATCACAAAAATGTATTTGTCAAGACACAGGTTTGTAGGTTGAGATTTAAAGCCGACGGGTCACGACCGATTCTATATATTTTGAACTACAGACATCGTCGTTAAATAAACCACAAACCACGAAACCACGTGTCATAATCACTCAAGCGCGATCATCATCTTGTATCTGGTAAGAGTAATTCTGATAGTTGTAATATTAATTAAAATATTTAAGTTTCTATGGCTTATTCGTGAACCAACATAATAATGAAGGTATTTAATGTATCACACCACGCGTTTATAATTAAACAACCTTAACCGCCACGGTGGGCTAGTGGTCA